GTGGTGTCTGTCAGGGGGGTGATGTCTGTCAGGGGTGGTGGTGCCTGTCAGGGGGTGATGTCTGTCAGAGGGCGGTGTCTGTCAGGGGGCAGTGCCTGACAGGGTGGTGATGTCTGTCAGGGGGAGGTGTCTGATGGGGCGGTGTCTGTCGGGGGTGCTGTCTGTCAGGGGGAGGTATCTGACAGGGGGGCGGTGTCTGTTGGGGGGTGGTCTCGTCAGGTCTCCGTCAGGGGTGGTGTCTGTCAGGGGGCAGTTTCGCTCAGGGGGTGGTCTCGGTGTGGGGCCCTCCCTCAGGGGTACTGGTCTTACTCCCAGAAAAGAGGGCCTAGCTGTCTGCCAGAGGTTGTCCGAGCTGCCATGATAGTGGGAGCTCTGCCGCAGGCAGGCATTTCAAATATTAGCAGGGGCTAGGGCCCTGCCAGGTGAACACTGGCGGATAAGATATGCCTGGCAATCTGCGTCTGAGAAATTGCCAGTGAATTTTACCAATTGTGTGAGGCCGGAAAACAAATTCAGTGGCATGCGTAAGAAAGAGCTGTCCATCAAGACTTGCGATGCTTCAGTAAAACATCCCAGCCCGGTCCACCTCACGTCCATCAGGCCTCTTCAGACTCCTGCAGCCGCGTGCAGTGACGCGAAGTGCAGGAAGATCACAGGTGGGGGCAAAGTCTATGGACCCAATGGCTCTGGAAGGTCTCCGGGGGGCTCACAGCAGGAAGGTGAAGGCAGAGAGAGGTTCCTAGGGCCCTCAAGGAGTCACCATCAGGCCGTGACCAGAGTGACGGGCTAGACTCCACCTCTACACTTTAATATGTCAGGTTGACCTGAAGTTATGTAAGGACCACACCAGGCACAGCAGAGCATCGTCCTGCGTGGTGCTGGCTGCGCCCTCAGGTTGGGAGGCTCTCCAAAGATGAAGGGGGAGCTCAGAGGAGAGTCGACCTGGATGACGTGACTGGAGTCAAGCTTTCAGAACCTGCGTTTCTGGTGTTGCAAGACCAAAACGAGAAGAAACAGCCCCGGACAGCCATTAGGACCTGGAGCGTGGCATATATAGAGTATGAATCAGGAAAAACAGGAGCTGTCCAAATGAAAAGGAATGCATAGCCTCGAGCCAGTGAGCGGAAGGGGTCTGGTATGGGCCATTTTTACAGCAGTTTCATTGGCATTGTCACCTATCATACAATTCAATCGTGGAGACTGAGTGGTGGTTCCCGGCCCTCAGGCAGGCCATCAGTGCCACCCCCACCCCCTTAAAACCAGCCTGCCTTCTGCCAGTGTCGTGTGCCTGTGGATCGGGAGCTCCGCTGGCTTGTTCTGCTTCAACTTGGCCAGTTTTGAACTGGAAGCTGCTTTACTGTACGAAGGTAAGCCCCCAACCTCACACCACCCTTGTTCTACGTCTTGTGGGGTGCGCAGATACATGGAGAAAGACGAGGCTTTCTACTTCCATAACAAGTGACAGTCTCAGAAACCCACTGGGGCCATTCTGTGAGTTTGGCCTTTTTGCCCCTACCCCTCCTAGAGGCCTGGTTACTGCTGCCTCTCCCCTCCCCTCTGCCCATGCCCACCTGTCCCCTTTGTCTCAGCCCTGCCCCCAAGTACTGCTCCATTCCTGTCTCTCTATTTGACCCTGAGGCCCACGCTCGGTCCACTGTGTGAGCCCTCCCCAAGCTCCCAGTGTCCACAGCACACAGCACTGACCAGCCAGCCACCACTCCAGCCGGACTGGGCACAGGTTCCTGGTCTCTTCTAGCTTTTTGGGTCCTTGGTCCTTCTCACCTGGCTGACCACATCCTGGACTCCTGGTCTCCCTGCAAAGCCGCCTTTCTCCTTCTGTCAGGGCCTTCTGGGACACACTCGTGTGTCTGCGCGTCTGCCTCCTGCTGACCGTCCCAAGTGGGGCTGCAGCCGGCCTGCCCGGCCCCTCTCACAGGCTGGCTGGAGCCTGGCCCACTCAGGCTCTCGTCCTGATGTGCGCATGGACGGTGCCCTTTGCTTGCTTCTGAAATGTAGCTTCTCTCTCTTCTCTGCACGCCAAGACTTTGCGGACCTCAGCATCACGGTGGCGGGATCATGTGCCATCATGACGGAGGCTGTGAATGGGAAGGTTAGTGTGGACACCTTTACGGACTTCGTTTACGCAGCTGGCCTTTGTCGGTGTTGAGTACCTATGGTCTAGGGGTGTCTGTCAGTGACATATCCCTGTACTGTAGGGGTGTCTGTCTGTGACACCACCCTGCTCTGTAGGGGTGTCTGTCTGTGACACCACCCTGCTATGTAGGGGTGTCTGTCTGTGATATGTCCCTGTGCTGGAGGGGATCTGTCTGTGACACCTCTTCTGAAGGGGTGCCTGTCTATGATATGTCCCTCTTCTGTAGAGGTGTCTGTCTCTGAGGTGTCCCTCTTCTGTAGAGGTGTCTGTCTGTGAGGTACCCTGTTCTGTAGGTGTGTCTGTCTGTGAGGTGTCCTGTTCTATAGGGGTGTCTGTCTGTGATATGCCCCTGTTCTGGTGGAGTGTCTGTCTGTGAGGTGCCCCTGGTCTGTATTGATGTCTGACTGTGAGGTGCCCTGTTCTGTAGGGGTGTCTGTCTCTGAGGTGTCCCTCTTCTGTAGGGGTATCTGTCTGTGAGGGGTCCCTATTCTGTAGAGGTGTCTGTCTATGACATGTCCCTGTTCTGTAGAGGTGTCTGTCTGTTAGGTGTCCCTGTTTTGTAGGGGTGTCTGTCTATGACATGTCCCTGTTCTGTAGGGGTGTCTGTCTGTGAAGTGTCCCTCTTCTATAGGGGCATCTGTCTGTGAGGTGTCCCTGTTCTGTAGGGGTGTCTGTTGGTGAGGGGTCCCTGTTCTCTAGTGGTATCTGTCTGTGAGGCATTCCTATTATATAGGGGTGTCTGTCTGTGAAGTGTCCATGTCTGTTAGGGTGTCTGTCTGTGAGGTGTGCCTCTTCTGTAGGGGTATCCGTCTGTGAGATGTCTCTGTTCGGTGGGTGTATCCGTCTGTCTTGTCTCCCTGTTCTGTAGCCTGTCTCTTAGGTGCCCTTTTTCTGTAGGGGTCTCTGAATGTGAGGTGCCCTGTTATGTTGGGATATCTGTTGGCATTTATCTCTCTGCCCTGTTCTGTAGGGGAGCCTGTCTGTCAGGTGTCCTGGTTCTCTAGGGCTATCAGTCTGTGAGGTACCCCTGTTCTGTAGGCATTTTTGTCTGTCTGGTGTCCCTGTTCTGTAGGGGTGTCTGTCATTGTGGTGTCCCCGTTCTGTAGGGGTATCTGTCTGTACGGTGTCTCTGTTCTGCAGGGTGTGGGTTAGGGTTCTCTAGAGAGATAAAACAAAATTGCTGATAATTTAATATATTTATTTATAAAGATAATTAGATATATAACAAGAAATGAACTGTTAAATCATATACAGATA